GGGGGGGGGGGGGGGGGGGGGGGGGGGGGGGGGGGGGGGGGCGCTAACCCCACCTCTGGTGGTAAAATCATTTAGGTCCCTTAGTACAAAATTTGGTATTTCATTGAATTAAAAGATAAACGATAAATTATATTCTGTAAGCAGCACTTCAGCTAGCTGCCATACGCCCCCTTTCTTCTCTTTGTATATAGACATTTCAGCCTATACGGTTAAATTATACAGTCCGCAGGCCGACCGCAGGCCATAATTAAGTATGTATGTTTAATTGTAAACAATATTATATAAAATCATGCATTTTAATTTAATGTCATGCAAAAAATAATGATTTTGAGCGATGTGTTTAAAGTACGTTTCTTAACTTAACATGCAAAGAGGACCTGGAGGACGGCAGGAAGCACGTCTTTTATACTCTTGACGTTGGGGTGATGCACGTATTACGCACTCCCGCCGCACGTTCGATTCTAGGTTGTTTGGGCATTCGCCGCACTAAACACGTATAGGGACACTTGCTCCTTCATTTCTTGCGATGTGCGTCTTAGGTCACACTTTTTCTTCTCACCTGCAAACCCACTGCAAACTCGATGCGAGGGGAGCAAGTTACACATTATTAATAGATTATTCGAAGAGTTGCTCCGGTACCCTCCGGTCTCCTCCGAGTGTGCTTACGGGCTGAATACTGACTCGAATTTCGTAAGAAGGGCTTACCTGGCACGTGAGATTCTTCGCAAAATGTGGACGCTAACAAGCCACAAGAGGCCGCGGCCGGCTGAGACCGAGGCTTTAAGGTTTTAAACCATGCGTTTTTCTCAAGCTTTTTAATGTAGAATTACGAAAATCAAACCTACGAAAGTTTACCGCTTTTTGCATTTATGAACTATTTTGCTACATGTAGCATTACCTGTATGTGATGATTAGCTTAACATTTGTTATTCCCTTTAAATATAGATAAGCATCCACGAGACATATCTGTTTGAACCGGACTAGAGAACTTCCTTATCCGCGATTTTACTTTTTACACTAGTAGGGAGCAGCTTCAAGTCCTTCGATTGATTAATTGATAAAATTATTTAAACTGATATTAAAATGAATATAATATAAATAACAGGTAAAAGTTTTTCCGTCCGTTTCTTTATTCACCATGTCCACGAAATAGTAGCTCTGTTACTCGAAACGTAAGCCTTATTTTGTATTGAATCGTTAATCGTTTTACATACACAGTGTAGTTTGAATGTATATTTTATTAGCATACGTGGAGATAAAGTCACTTTGAACATGTTGGTTAGGAGTATCAGAGACGAAAAAAGTATTCGTCGCTTGTGATACAATTTAATTTACATTTTTATACGGTCTAGAGGACAATTTCTGCTTATCCATAATTTAGCACTTCACGGTGTTGATGGAAAGGTGGCCTTTTGTATTGGATTATGAAATTAGAGTATCAATTACCGATATTTTAGAAATATAGAAATATTCTGTATGGGTGCAGGTAATCGACGACCTCGAGTCGGAAAAGGTTTGTGAGTTCAGGTGTGAAAATACAAGCAGACATCCATTTAGAATGTACACATTGTAACATCAATATTAAATTGAAGTTTGAATGGAAGCATAATTAATAAAACATGCTCGTTTTAAGTTAATACTTATTAAAACATATCAGAAATATATATGATTTAAGTACTGAATTATGAGAATTTGAATATGACTTAGTCTTTACATTCCAGATGAGGCAGGAAAGCGCGTCTTAGTGACAAGTACCATGGCAACAGCAAGTACATACACCGATTCAGACCAGGATAATTTCTTCCGCATGAGCATTCTTATTGTAGATTATGCCCTGAAAGTAGTGCAAGATGTTCTCCAGAAAGAGCTAAGAAAAAAGTATCCGAATTTATTTGATCCCAGCACGGGGTTGTTGAACAAGGTACTTGGTGATAAAACTGTCTGGACCTTACTGCTTGGATTATCACCGAAAATCTTTAATCACCACCAACGAAAGCAGCTGTATCCTGCTGGAAATCCCTCCACATCAGTAACTGTTGGTGATTTAGACCTCACACTGACTGTGCTTTTGCTAAGGAACATCACCTCGTTGAACCCTCGTCCTCAGTTTAATGCATGGGACAACCCCTCTGACACAGACACATCAAGAGAAGCCACTATAGGACGAATTAAAAGATATCGAAATACCGTGTATGGCCATGCAAACAAGGCAGCAATCAGCGATCAAGAATTTAGTACACATTTTTTAGGGTTAAAATCCAATCTCTTGGTTCTCTCTAGTAGGTTCACAAATGAGGATTATGATGCCATTTTGTCTGAACCTCTTGACGCTGATTTACTCAGGAAATACCGGGGCGTTTTGGAAGAATGGAGCAATCATGACGAAGATGTGAACTATACAATTGGAGCTGGGTTTAAGAGAATCTCAGAAGGGATCACACAGTTGCTTGATGGTCAGTCGGAGCTAAAGAAACTGTGTCTTGGAAAAGATCAGCATGAACAGAACACAAAAGGTATGCAGCTTGTGCTTTTAGATGTTTTCCACAAACCCAGTAGATTGATATACAATGAAATGCCATGTAAGTCCTTTGTGACAAGTAAAACTTAAAGGATTGTCGGATATTTCTTATCTATTTTATATTGACAAATTGGCATCTCCCAGATGTTACTGATTCACCATCTGTATGCCTGAAGCCTTGTCCTAGAATTGCTTAAGTAGCTTTTATTCATTACTTTATTTATTGCTTTCGTTTTCTGCTGACCATAGCACCAATTTTCTAAATATTGTGTTTCCTTGTTAAACAGGCATAATGATGTATGTCGTAAAATGTTTGCAAGTATGTGTATAGAAGGACATGAATATAGTCCTTATTGCCCAAAGATACAGAACATTAACAATCCTTAAGGCACCATTAGAATTGTAACACCTTCAAAGACTTTTATTCCATGGGGAATAAAAATGTATATGTGCAAACTCATTCACATCGAGTTGTCAGCCTTTTTTCAAGAAATTGTTTGCTTTAATATTAAAATAATCGTAAAGCAAAGCAAGACACCCAGAAGCCCCCACGCATTCTCCCCTGATACTACATATGCAAAACGCTAAGCCTACCCCCTCCTCCCACTCCCCATTCCCACGCGGAAAGATTTGGGTTCCTGTAGAAATCACACATGTAAAGGCATATATGCGCATGCAGGCATACGTGTGTAAAAATGACACTGTTTTCTGGTTGTCAAAACTGTTGTTTTAAAAAAGCAACACTTAGTTTCTTGTTTTTTATTGTTTTTTATTTTATTTTATTATTATTATAATATTATTATTATTATTTTTTTTTTATTTATTTTTTTTTTTTTTGTAAAAAAGGCACTTGCTTCTTGTGTTTTGAATATAATGCTATGAAATCCTTAGTCTTTTTCAAATTGTATTTCATTCAAACAGTGGCTTCAAATCCACCACACAACCCTTCATCGGTGGGAGTTGTCAGCCAAGTGATGGAGACTCAGTATCTGAGTCCTCCTTCATCAACAGAAGAGGAAATTACACAAACTGCATCTACAGACTCTACTGCTACCAGTGTTGATTTGGGACCCAGCGCAGGTATAGTTTTTGCTGCATGTCTGTGTGTGTGTTTTGTGTGTGTATCTGCACATGTGTGCGTGAATGTGTATGTGTGCCTTTGTGAACGTGCGTGTGTTTGTATATTTGTGCATGTAAACGTTTGTTTTTCTGAACATGTGTATGTGTGTGTGATCACATCAGTATATGCCATGACTATTACATATTTGCCATCATCATGGGCCACATAATTTTGTATCGGGTTCAAAACTGAAAGTAAGATATATAAATGTAGTGTCCCCTTTCAATATGGCTGCGATAAAGGTCCAAATTACCACAGTAACGATACACGAGTCCTTTTAGACTCTATATTCTACGACACTAGAAACCAACGAGAAAAATATGTTCTATGCACCTTTTTCTTACTATCTTAAGAAATGTTTGTATTATACAGTGCAAATATTGTTAATAAAATATATTTATATAGATAAATATTTTATATTTCATGCATTGTGAGTACAGGAAAACATTTAGTCTCTGTGAAACATTGAACCTCGACGCCCTTTAGTTTATGGTGGCTTGGTCAATTTAGTTAAATAGACTGAGCTTAGAATTTCCTATAATAACATGAATGAATACTAGTGAGAATTACATTGTTAACAGCAATCATGTTATTTTTGTCCCCATTTAGATTATAAGTAAGACTGGAAAAATATTTACTTATAACATTGATGATACCGTTTTTCCTATAAACTATGTTTCTTTTCAGGCACCAAACTTAAAACAAGGAAGCCAGATACCTGCTATCAGGTAATGCACATGTAATATATGTCGCTCTACATTGTGCTCAACATCTTGTTATAACTACTTAATAATTTCATGGATGTTTGAATATCAAGATGTCAAACGTTCCTAACCTTCCATGTCCATGTAATATATATAAATGTAGGGACTGTTCTGAGGTAATATTGGAAGTAAAACCTATCTCAATATTAGCTGTTGTCTGAAGAAAAAATCACATCATTCTTGTAGGGACTGTTAGTAGTGAGGGGCTGTATGTCTGCAGACCCTGCGTGATTATTTTAACACTGCACGCACTAATCACTTGATATTTCAGCCAGATAATGATGTCAATAAAAGTAGAATATGAGGCAATGTAATTATTGGTTATACCACATTATAATATCTAATGTAATCTAAAAAAACTTTGAATTTATTCCCCATTTTCCAGGCACCTATAATGAGACCAACACACAAAAACCTTTTGGTGAAAATGAGACAAATGCTTGTAGAAAATCTCCAAGTTGAGGACATCATTCGGGACATGGTAGCCACGAACCTATTCAGTAAAGACAATGCAGAAAAGGTAATGGCTAAAGAAACAGAAAATGATCAAGCTTTTGAATTTCTTCGTATTCTACCAAAATGTGGCCCTTGTGCATTTGAAACATTTGTTGAAGTGTTGAGAAAACACAATAAGATAGAACTTGCAGATAAGTTAGCAGACAAAGCGACTGCATACAGTAGTAAAAACCAAATAGCACATTTCTACATCAATTACATGAGCCAGATACAGCGCCTTCCTTGGGACCCCGACGACACAATGCACTTAGATGACGTGTATGTTAACCTGCAGTGGGTACAAGAGGAAAGGAAACCAGCAGGTACCAGTTCTGATCCAATCCATAGCTATACATCAATATTAGATACTAAACAAGGGAAGACACCAAAGAGAATATTGGTCAGAGGAAAAGCAGGCATCGGCAAAACCACATTTACACAGAAGATGGCAACAGACTGGGCAAATGCCACACTGGGTTTAGGAGAATGTGATGAAGTCCTTTTAAGATATAAACATGTTTTAATAATAAATCTACGCAGCATTCAGCCTGGTCAAACACTGAAGGAAGCAATGGAAACACAAATCACTTGTCCTGCAGAAAATAGAAAAGCAGTGACAGATGAAGTCATGCAAGCTATAGACTATGACAGTGACCATGTTCTGTTGGTCTTTGATGGTTATGATGAATATGATATCAACACTTCCACAGAAATCACAGACATCATTTACCGAAGACAATACCAAGGTGTGTGCACCGTCATCACAACACGTCCATGGAAGGCAGAAGAACTGATGAACGGACGAATAATAGGCGGTGCGTTTGAAATCACTGGGCTAACAAAGGACAACATTGCTGAATATGTTGCTAAATTCTTTAATGATGAACAGACGTATGTTGAGTACCTGGTTTATAAGCGTTGGGATGCATGGGGATCAATAGGGAACGGTCTCGTAGGCTACCTAGACGAAAAAGAGCTGATGTCCCTGGTGAAGATCCCAATACTTCTACTGTTCATGTGTCTCATGTGGCAAGAAGATCAAGAAAGTGATGCCCAGACAGATTCACTCCCAGCTTCATTTGCATTGCTATACAGGAAATTAATACAGTTGCTTTTAAGACGAAGATACGGCATCAGAACACAGGATGAAATGGAACAGTCTGCATGTGTTCAAAAACTTGAAAAACAAACATTTATCAGCCTTGGCAAGCTGGCTTTCGATGGACTGGTGAAACCAGATGGGGGTCTCATATTTGATGAAAAGGACCTGCAGACGATTCCAGATGTCAACGAATTGTACAGTTTAGGTCTACTTAGCAAGTGTAAGGTTCACAGTAACCTTGATGTTAAACACGAGGTAACTTTTCCACACAAAACAATTCAGGAGTTTTTTGCGGCAAAATACCTGGCGAGGAAATTAGACGAAAGTGATAGTAACATTTTAGATCAGTTATTTGAAAATTTAGACACCACTGACAAACTCTATGACATGAGCTTTGTGTTACGCCTTTTGTGTGGGTTATCAAGGAAAGCAACTACCGAAGTGCTACGCAGAGGTGAAGTTCTTCACAACAAAGATGATAAACAAGATCATAGTCATAAGAACATGGACTATTGCGTTCCTGACACGTGCAAAGATTGGTATAATGATCTCCTCCTAGAACACTGGTATGCCTACTGTCCCCAGGAAACCGTGCTGCCCCCTGAGCTTTTCTCCTGGCACACAGAACTTTACATACCTGATTCATTTGAGCACTCTGATTCCAAATTCCAGCAGATCTTGCGGGACAGTATGTGCAGTCCCCAGATATGTTCTGGTTTGAATGCCGTCATCATTGATTGTGAGTTTGGTCCTGATAGTTGTGAAAGGCATCACAAAGCATTATGTTTACTCAGTGAGTGTGACATATTCCGTGAACTAGTAGCGGTATTGTGGCAGGGTGAATTGCACACTTGTGATGGTTGCAGAAGTGCCTTTAATCATGTTTTATCTAAAGCTCCCAATCTTCAAACACTTAAAATAGGCTCAGATTGTAGAGGAGCACTATCATCAATACCAAACTCTGGAAAACTGTTACATCTGGATGTCACAGACATAAATGATCAAGACTGCCAGGTGATCCTACAGATGCGGCACTTGAAGTACATTGTATCTAAGGGATTAGGTTTAGGATCAATAATGCCAAGAGAGCCACTTCCTCAACTGGGGGCAATACCTAATACCAGTCATGATTTGACTCATATAGATATTAGTTTTACCCCTCTTAGTGCCGTGGGTGTACAATTTTTTGGGAGGAACCTTCACCATGTGCCAGGGCTGGAACATCTGACACTGGACTGGGTATTCATGAGGAGACCCGAGTGTGGGCCTGGCAGGTGTACATGTCCTAGGGGTGAAGATACAACAGACTATGACAGATGTCAGGATGTCTGTGAAGCCGTGCGTGAACTGAGCCAAGGTGTGAAATACACCACTCAGCTGAAGTACTTCTCACTCAGAGACAGTCACTTGGGTTTGTACCACGGTATCACCAGTCCACTGATAGCATTGATACAATCTCTCAGTACAGTGGCAGAGCAGACTGGAATGAGGATTAACATGGGTTATGAACTGGACAGAGTTGACCGCCTCAGTGAGCTGATAAAAGCCATTGTCAGTTCTTACCAGCATGTATCATCTTGGTATCTTTGGCATAATAACCTTGAAAAGATTCTCCCAAAGCCAGACGACAGTCTTAATTGTCAAGTGTCACATAATATTTTTTAAGCATAAAGCTTCTAAGTGGAAACCTGATATGTGTTAAGTCTCGTTCACATATGAAAAATGAAGTTTATTTCTAGATGTGCCTGCTGTAGTACAGTTCTGATATTTGCATCACCGAGTAATGCTAAAGCATGGCTTGGTCTACCAGTGTTTCAGTATTCAATATTTATGCATGTTACCCAGACACTGATAGTGTAGAAATATTATAGTCCATGAGCCAAAGACCAAAAAATCCAATTTGGCTGCACCCCCCGTCAGGCAAAGGTTTTATGATTGATTGATTCTTGTAGTTTAGAACCTGAATTTTTCATTTCTGCTTGTTTCCGGCTTGAAAAAGTGTCCGTTTGTACCGGAAACAAGCAGCATCCAAGATGGCCGCCAATAAATGCATGTGTCAACTGTAAATACAAAAATTGATTTTAAAGTTACTTAACAACTTAATATTATCAAAATGTGCACTGATCACAAGTACTTAGGCCTTCTTTGATTTTTCAGGCACTTTACATTTTTCAAGATGGCAACTGAATCCAAGATGGCGGACATTTTCCTTACTTTTTGTGAAAAAATACAAATACCTAAATTTGAATTTTTTTTATTAGCCAAAAATTAGGAATATTTTACATGTTTTGATGTATTTGAATAAGTTGAAGTCCATATTTTTAATTTTCACCAGTTAATTAATCACAAAATTGTACATTTGAACACAGATGGCTCTAATCCAAGATGGCCACCACATAAAATGGGCTTTTTGTTTTGATATGTCAACAAGCCTTTCTTAGTATAAAACATTTCAGACTAATCAATGGAGGATTTATTGCCCAGGTTATGGTATAAAATGTATGACTTAATAATTTAAATTGTTTTGAGATTTTGTTCAGGGTATAAAAATCCAAAATGGCTGCCAAATTCTGGATCCAAAACATATATAATTTTGATTTGCATGTTGAAAAACATCACATTGAATAATAAGCAAATTAAAAATATTTATTTTTGGATAAATTTATCTGTATTGCAATCTCGAATTTGCTTCTTAGACACTTTATTTTGCCAAAAAGTGGTTGTTTTTGCTTCATTTATCATGATTCCAAGTTGGCCATTCATAAAAATGAACTGCACGCTACCCGTATGGACAATACCACGTTGAGAGCCTTACTAAACTGCATACACAGTATTTCTGTACTTTTCTGAACTTATTACTTTTTATCATTAAATAACTTTTTCTTTGAATTAATTCAAATAAACTTTCTCAGATTTTTACATTGCAATTAATATTCAAGATGGCTGCCATTACGTACATTAAATATGCTTATTTATCTGATTCATTACTAATAATATATATATAAAGAGAGAAATTAAAGAAACATTATTTTAAAACCACTGTCACGTATATCTTTAATGTAGCCTTTAACATCCAGGCCTTTCTTGCTACTTTGACCATTCATATTTCCTTAAATTCATCATATTTAATTGATTGCCATAAATTAATGACGGCTACCAATGAAAAAGAATTCCACTTTATAGTGAGTTGATTATGAATGAAAGCTTTATGTCTTTCTAGATTTCAAATTGAATGTCTTTTTCATGCAATAATTCATCTATAGTATTGTTTGATACAGTTCAAAATTTTGGAAGGCTACAGAATTGAACAAAGCTGATCCCTTCTGATTTTTTATCCATAAATTCTCTGTACGTAATGAGGAAAAATCAAACTTCATTGAAAATAAATATAAAAAGCATAATGTATATGTTTTTGATAAAATTGTATATATTGCAGACTCCTTTTCCCTATTTTGGTAGGATTTCGAAGCTTTCTCTATTTTAAATATTTCAAATGGTTCAAATATGACAGGATATCCAAGATAGCAAACATACTACTAGTAACTGTGAATTCTTATCATAAGCCATTCATGTAAATAAAAAAGTGAAAATAATCAAAACCAAATGATAATTCTAAAAAGTTATTCATTTAATTAATTTGATTAAATTCCAGTCTCCTTTTGCTAGTAAGTCATTGCCAAAAACCATCAATAAAGTCAAGATGGGCTGCCACTGCAAATGATTTTCAATTAATGGGGCTGGGACAATCATTACATCAAATATTTCTTGAATACATCATGTTAAACAGTTAAGCCTTTATTTAGAGGTTTAATTTTTTTTTTTTTTTTTTTTTTTTTGATATTTTAAACCAGTTTCATGTCTACAATATTCAATATGGTCACCACTCAAGTTAAGAGTCTTATGCAGCAATGAATGTCTCAATTTGGTATCCATAGTCTTCTAACTTCGGATTCCCTCATGGCTCATCTTTTCCATGTTTTATAAGCAAGTTCTGTTTTAGAATCTACACACAAGGGAGTTGTTACAGGGTTTATGTCAGTATTTCTTGGTGATTTTGCTTCTATTCATTTTGCTGTAACGAGTTGTTGACTTTTTTTAGTCTTTCTTTGAGAGACTGAATTAAATTTATTCTACTTTGCTCTAATATTTACTCCTTTGCCAGTGTGTCACTGTGTTGAATTAAACAGGCTGCTTTTGTAAGTTTCAGTCCTTAAGTCTCAACCATGGTCTTCCTCTGAGATTGCTACCCAAAACCAATTGGTCAAATAGTACAGGTGACAGCTGTTTTGGGATTTTGCTATGCAACATTCAGTTCACATGTCCAAGTCAACTTAGTCTTCTTTAGCACAGAAATGCCTCTTTAAAAACTTCTGTAATAGTTACTCTGGCTTGCCTGATGATGACAAAGGTTGTGTGCAAACACCTTTGTTTTAAGAGAGTGAGCCTCTTGCCCTGTGTTCAGGTCTCTAATTCATATACACACATGTATGCGGGAGCCTAGTATGCATGCTTTATTACCTCTTCCGAGAAAGTCACATTTTCACCTTCGTTTGTCCATTTGTTATGGTTTCTCAGATTGTTACCAGCCTAGCTAAAAAAAATAAAAAATAAAACGGATGGATTTTAATGAAGTGTTCAGGATAGGTCATTTCTAGGCTAAAAGTAAGTAGATTTTGGTCGTGATCTATTTGTTAATTAGTTTATAAAGAAAGTTTGGATCTCCAAATATTTTTCCTCTCAACAGAATAATGTTGGATTTTAAAAGAATTCAACATATTGAGCAGTACCTATCCGTAAAGTGCAAGAATTACCTGCACCTACAGTGTATTTATACATTGTAACATAAACATCATTTGTCACGTTGTGCTTGAACTCCTTCATCGTCACTTACATGTGCCATACATCATTCACCATCAATGTACTTCACTCTGTAGCACCACTTCATGAGTTCCCTGAATGTATTATTATCCAGCACTGTTCTCTAAAGAGACAAAAGATGTTCTTGGAGATCCAGATATTTTCTTGCAACTTCTTTGCTGGTCTTAGTTTATGATAGTGATTGCTTCCCGGATTTATCATATAGAATAATGCTACAGCTGCATGTTATCCATTCCTTTTTTCAGATAAATTAAAGATATTCACCTTTTGGTTGCTTGAGGTTAGGATAATTCTGATTCTTCTTTATGAGTAACACCTAGCAGAATGTGAGAAATCTTATCACTACTACTAGTAAGTCCCTTTTTGACTGAGATCCTGGCTCTTCGTCAAGCTTGACAGGGAACTTTCAACAAGCAATGTACCAGTAACCCATTTGAAATGTAACAAAAGAAGTGCTATCATATGAAAACTAAATTTTACAGCCCACCCCCCATATAACAAACTATCGATCCTTAAGTTGTAAATGATGAACGTCACTCTTGTTAGGGCGTTTTGGGCATGCATTTTGTCTGCAATATTGAAAATTGTCATTTTACTAACCTATATAGTTGCTGCTGAAAAAAATTGCTGTCCCTTGTGTGTTATGCGTTAATTTCTATTCCAGAAAACGACAAAGCATTTGAGATTCACTCAACCTTAGTAACTACATGCATATAAAATTACAACTCAACAGTGTGTTTTCATCCATGTTTACCTAAAATTCATTTTTCTTGGTGGCCATCTTGGATATTTTTGATGATTGGAGCTTATAGAATTACTTTTTGGAAAAATTAGATTCTAAACAATAAAAGGACACTGCAGTTTATCAAAACATATACTTTTATTATTTGCCTATCATTCAATTTGATGCTTTTCAGCATGCAAATCAAAATGTTGTTTGTTTTGAATCCAGAAATTGACGGCCATTTTGGACTTTTCAACCCTAAACTATAAGCCTAAAACTATTTTAAATCATTCAGTGATATATTCCATTCCATAACTCTAACAATAAAGCTCAGAAATAGCCTTTTAACTAAGGCTCACAACATGTGGTATTGTCCATACGGGTAGCGTGCAGTTCTTTTTTATTAATGGCCAACTTGGAATTATGATAAATGAAGAAAAATTAACCACATTT